AGAAGAAGCTGGTGTGGGAGTCTGTGTGTCAGACAGGGTACAACTGTGTGTCAGTCAGTATCTACCTGATAGGTTCAGGTGTCTTTATGGGTAGCCAGAACTGATAGGTTCAGGGTCTGTGCTTTATTTAAAGGTGTTCTGTGTGAACCAAACTGGTGTATGTATGATTGAGACTAAGCCACGTTACTGTATCTTATTCACTTGATCATTTTATTTTCCCTGTGTGTTAGTTAAATAAACCTTATTCCTTTGTTTGTTAAAAATCCATTCCTGGTCTGTGTGACTTCTTATAGGGAATGGTTGGTGGCAGCTTAGTGAAAATGTGGTATCCTCCAGTAGGTCTGGGTTTGTCACAGGGGATACCTGGCTCAGCAAAACTACGAGTGAGAAGGATCTTGGAATTGTCGTAGATCACAAGCTAATTATGAACCAACAGTGTGATGTGGCTACTAAAAGGCAAATGCTATTCCAGGCTGCATTAATAGAAGTATATTTTCCAAATCTCACAAGGTGCTAGTTCCCCCTTTATTCAGCGCTGGTTAGGCCTCACCTTGAGGATTGTGTCCAGTTCTGGACCCCGCACTTCAAGAAGGATGCTAACAAATTGGAACAAGTTCAGAGAAAGGTGACAAGGATGATCGAGGCTCGAAACCAAGGCTTATGAGGAAAGGATGAAAGAACCGGGCATGTTTAGCCTGGAGAAAAGTAGACCAAGGGGTGATATGAAAGCACTTTTCAAATATTTGAAAGGCTGTCATACAGAGGAGGGGCAAGATCTGTTCTTGATCATCCCAGAATGTAGGACATGCAACAATTTGATACAATAAATGTATCACCTGTTCCTGCATTAAAATCTTTAAGAATTCTTGGAGAACAGGGGAAATTCCTGCAAACTGGTAGCAGGCTAATATTATCCCCATGTTCAAAAAAGGGAGAAAAAGAGGATTGGGGCATCTACCTGTGATCTCTTTTTACTAGAATCAAAAACTTGATACCTGAGAGACGTGGTGTGAATGCAGCATATCTTGCTTTCAGCAAGGTTTCTGAAAAGGTGATACTATTGCGGCTAAAACGGTAAAACATGGGACTAAACAATGCTACTGTTGGATGGTTCTGTAGCTGGTTCATACACAATATTCAGAGAGTGCTCACTAATGGTTCTTTGTTATCCTGGAAAAAAGTAATGAATGGAATGGCACTAGTTTTATCCTGGGTATGGTGTTGTTTAATATCTTTGAATAGTTAGTATTTTTGAAGGCAGAATCAGAATTCAATATAACCTAAACAGATTGGAACATCAGTCCAAAGTAAGCAAAATGAGTTTAAACAGGGAAAAACATAAACACCTCTGTCGAATGCACAAATACCGGATTGGTGACATCAGAAGTATGTGTGAAAAGAATCTATGGAAGTCTTAACAGACTACAAGCTAAACATGACTCAACAGAGTGATGCACCAAGAGCAAAAAGCACTATTGTGATAGTAGTTCTGTAATGCATCAACAGAATCACAGCATCTAGATTATGGGAATGAATAGTATGTCTCTGTTTAGCCTCAGTGAGACTGCACCTTTGAGCAGACCTCAGTTCTTGATACCACAGTTTAAGGATACTGACATGCTAGGGGACAATAATGAAGATGGTAACATGTTTGGAAACCAAGACCTACAAGGGACATTAAAGGGAGTTGAGTATGTTTAGCCTAGAGAGGATTATGCTAAGACATGATATGATAAGCTCCTTTAAATATATTAAAGGTTGTCATGCAAAAGACAGAACAAGCTTTATTGTGCTTTTATTATGTGATTTCTTAGTGTAATTCATTTAGTAGATTTTATATTTTGTTTGGTCATTGTTGATTATATCTTTGTTTTTATGTTATTGTTTATTCTGTTTTGCAAACTGCCCAGAGTGGCCTTAGCAACCAAATGGGCGATATAAAAATCAAACAAACAAACAAATAAGAAAGCTTATTTTCTTGGCTCCAGAGAACTGGACCTGAAGCAATGCATTCATACCACAAGAAAGGTGATTTCAACTAAGCATTAATAAGAACTCATAGGAGAAAGAGCTGTTTGACAGTTGAATGAACTATTTCAGAAGGTGGTGGATTCTCCTTCACCGTAGGTTTTTACACAAAGGTTGGACAGTCATGTGTCAACAATGCTTTGGCTGTGGACTCCTTTAATATGGGTTGGACTCCATGAGCCTTAGGGTGTCTTACAGCTCTACAGTTCTATGAACATTGGAAATAAAGTTTTAAGTGTGTAAAAGAAAAAAAGGCTATAAAACGCCCTGAAAAACAAACATTGTGTGTTTAAATGAAAAAGGAAAAGAAGTTCTGTGCTTAACTGTTTGAACAATTTTTCTTCATGTCTGTTATTATGATTTTTCTTTTGCAGCCAAGTTTGTATAGAACAGAAATGAAGGTCAGGCCATACAATCCTTGCTGAGGCATGGGACTGATAGAATATTCTAGTCTATGATTGCTTAGTAAATTTCATAATCTTTGTACCCAAAACACTGTGTACAGTTTGGAAAACAGGACACAAATATTATCAACAGGTTCATGAATTCTAACATGAAATCATGAAAGCTGTTTACTGATCCATCTGATACAAATACTGAAAATAAATTATATATGGACAAGAGAAGTGGAAGATTATTCAAAATCCACCAAAATTGTTTTGGTGTATTTCAACAAAACTTGTACGCCCTGAGGTTTAATGAACTTCCCCATTTTTACACATGTATCTGCAGACTCTTCCTTGAAAGAGTATCTCCGGACTCTTCCTAGGGCAGGACAAGTCCATGCCACTCCTCAGATGAGCCAACACAGTCTAAGTCCCCTTTTTAAATATTTTAAGTCATCATCTTTAGAAAAAATGGAAACAGAAGCTGTTAGAATAATGAAATAATTTTTCTGTTCTCCAAAATGAGTTTGGTAATACTCACCTTAACCCGTTCTGAGGCACCTTCAGTAATGTTGACTGTGAACTCAGCTACTTTTGGTGTACGGAATTTTCCCTTCTTACGGTCAGGTTCATAATCTGTTTTAGTCTTGACCATCACCTTTTCAAGGAACATTATCAAGAAAAGATAATCAACTACTAGGCAGATTGGAACAGCTGCAACCTTAGTCATGTAGTATTCATCAGTCTAACCTTAATATGGATTTCAATGTAGTCAAATAGCCCAAAACAGCTCTGATTAACACATAAAGGTTCCTGTATTCACATGTCATAGGTGTCTAGGAAATTCCTGAAACCATCCAACTCACTACATTTAATTCAGGGAAAAGAAAGCTAGAAGAATGATGTGTGAGGTACTCCCCAACACAAGCCCTGCTAAAATGAAGAAGAAATGCACAACAGAATGGCTGCTGTTCATTTCAACAGAGCAGAAGTTCCTACTGATGGTAATGATAATCCCATCAGTGACCTCAGGACAGCTTATAGCAATAAAAAATTTAAGCACCTGGGGCTGATGGGGGAAACGCAGAAAGCTACATATATGCAAAAACTTTTTAGCAGCAAGGAACACTAATGCCAAGGTCTTCTTAACAGTATGTTTGGGCAAGCTGCAATTACACCTGTGAATTTCTCTGAAAGTGTTTCACACCCTTGTGGAATAGTGCTATATTTTTACTGGCTACAGTATTTTTACTCTATTTTACCTCAGACCACTAGACTCAAACAAATCTTTATAACACAGGCTACCCCTAATGGTTTTAATGTCCTCAATGTATCTTTGTTTTCTCAGTTCATTTAATAACTATGCATAACTTTTTAAAACCAGTTGCATAATCTGTGCTTTTCTCCGTCTTCACATTTGGAATAGATTAATTATGGCGTCACAGTAGTGGTGCCATATATTTTGTGGAAGCACAGTAAAAAGGATTATACAAGCAAAGTAAAAAAAAAATATAACTATGAAACTAGGCCTCAGATCAGCACCAAATGTAGCAGAAAGAGTTTTTGAGTTCTGGGGAAAAAACACTGTTTTACTCCCATGCAGAACCAAGTGATCCTTGTGAGAGCTCTTAGAAAACATGAAATATGTAGATAACACAATATTTGCATATCAAGGGGGATAAACCTTCTGTTTTAACCTCTTTCATTTTGTCCACAGGAATTAGGCCATGGGTGATTTCAATTTAGACCCTTTAATTACTGATTTTAACCCCTAAAACTTCTGAAATTGCTCCTTTTTTATAATCTCTGAGAATTCCGAAAGAATTATTTGCATAGCATAGCATTCTGGCCAATCAGAATGTGTCTCCAGTCAGCCCATAGTGGAGGTGTCTATCACTTTTAACATTTCCATGGGCTTCCTGGCAACATATTCTTAGCTCCTGCCTGTGAAAATATTCTAAAAATTATTTTAAAAAATAGATATTAATATACAGTGGGGTCTTGACTTGAGAACTTAATCCATATTGGAAGGCGGTTCTCAAGTCAAAAAGTTCTCAGGTCAAATCTGCATTTCCCATAGGAATGCATTGAAAACCATTTGATCCGTATCTGCTATTTTCCGTCCATAGAAACTAATGGGAAGCTGCTATTCTGCCTTCGACCACTAGAGGGAGATATTTTGTTTCTTTTTTTCTTAGGTCAAGAAAGGTTCAGGGAAGGCAGGGAAAATACAGTCCAGGCAGTCTGAAGACTGTCTCCCAATCCACTCTCTAAACGCTGGGAGGAGCCAGGAAGCAGACAGGCAGCCTTTTCACTGACCAACAGTTAACTGAAAGTTCAAATTTTGCACTTTCCCTGCCTCCCACGTGGTTTTTTTTTCAGTTCTTAACTCAAATCTAAGTATGTAAGTCAAGTCAATATTTTCCTATGAGAGTGGTTCTTAAGTCAAAATGTTCTTAACTCGAGCCGTTCTTAAGTCAAGACCCCACTGTAGAGCGGCTTGCTCATTTAAGCTGTGAAATTACCATTTTTCCCTTTGAGAATAATCTCAAAGCACGGTTAACCCAGTTTATTCATGAGTAAGTTTACCCAGTTTATGGATCCACATGATTTCATATTATTTTTAGATGCTATCCTCCCTAAACCAACGCTAGATCATAGATCCTATTTGTACCTGCAAACTACACCACAGAAATCATGCACCTGTCAGCACATGGCTTTGAGTAGTGCAAGAACATAGAAATTATGCACGGAGCATATGGTTTTTCTGCAGGATCATCCCAAAATCACTGTCCATTCATAGGCCTCATTTCTGCCTATAGGCTACAACACTGGTTCTTAACCTTGGGTTACTCAGGAGTTTTGGACTGCAACTCCCAGAAGCCTTCACCACCAGCTGTCCTGACTGGGGGTTTCTGGGAGTTGCAGTTCAAAAGCATCCGAGTAACAAAAGTTAAGAACCACTGGGCTACAACACAGAAACAATGGGTCCCCATCCCATGGCTTTGCAGTGGCACAAAAACATGCATCTGAAGCACAGATCCTCATAGATCTACATGATTTTTACACAGGATCACCCTACAACCACTCTCCAAACATAGGCCCCATCTGAAATCATGGGTCCCTCAGTGTTTAGAGACTGACAGCATAAATGACCTTATGATGGTGAATCTAAATGGACCTCCACTACCACAGTTTAACCCTACTAAAGCCATCGATAAATGGTACTTCAATGCTAAAACTACCAAGCATCTTCAAGGACACAAGTGCAACACCTCTGACAGCAGTGCATTTTATACTAAGACGACATAGGCAAATACTGTGTACATAATACAATTTATTTTGCGTTTGTACACATTGTTACGTAGAAATAAAAGTGAACAAGTGCCTACTTTAAATTTGTTAACATAAATTGCAAGGCTATAGTGCAGTCATGCTGACTGGTGAAATTTTTGACTGACTGAAGAGACATTTTAAAATTTTTCAAGCCCTGTATATATGTGAAATAGTATGGGGAATAATGGAACCCTGAGACACGCTACACGTCAAGGTGTTGAACAGGAGTCCCCTAGCATCACTATTCTTCACAAAGTGACACCATGCAAGGGAAAATTCCAGAAGCTGACTCTTTTCTAGAAAAACCAGTTAACCACTTCTCACCCAAACACAAAGCAATTGTCAATGCTGTTTATCAGAAAGTGTGAATGGTAGCGAGCAAAGGAGGGTATCCTGTTGACCATCTTGACTGCTGCCATTGGTGTTGTCAACATTCAGGCTGCCCTTTGCTATGTAAAGCTTGGCATCCTCTTTCCTGCTGGCAACGCAGGCATAATGTTTTGCAGCAATATTGGTCCATTTCCTGGCTTTTTCAGTTGTGGGTACAGAAGCACAATATCCCACATTCATAAACTGGAGATTTTTTGAAGAATTGAATATATACAACTTTTGCATGCATATTAACTGCTTCTTGCTGGGCATCTGCACTTATCATGTTGATCATTAATAACTTTACATAAAGTCTTGTCCTTATTTATTTATATCATCTCTATGCTATCTTTCTCCCATAAAGGGTCTCAATGTTGCTCACAATAAAATACAACTTAAAAGCATAATAAATTTTCAGTTAAAATAATTAAGCATACAATAGTATAAAATAATCATCCATGAACGTTTTTAAGCTTCTAATTTAAAAAAAGAAAACTTTTAAAACACACTTTTAAATTACTCTACCTAAAACTGAAGAGGTCATTTTAAATGTCTTTACCTGTCACTGGAAGGACAAGGGGGTTGCAGTCTCCCAAGGGAAGGCATTCTGCAACCTTGGAACTATCACAGAGAAGGCTCTCTCTTCTATACCCACCAAATATACCTGAGGAGGACCTCCTGAGAAGGCTCGTATGGGGAGCTACAGTCCCTCAGATACCTTGGATCTAAGCCATGTAACTCACACTTCGAACTGGGGCCCGAAACACACAAGCAAAGCTGTTGTAACCAGCCCTGGTCAGCATAACGGTGTGGCATTCAACCTATGATTCAATATATTGATACAAGAGCAATTCAAGTTTCTGACTTTATTTATATTACAAACATTGAGACTTTAATTTATTCCATGTATATACACACGGAACTTCTGAATAGACACACATACTATCACAATGGCAACTGACAAGAAGTCCCAATGGTCTGCACTTCACCTAAATATGCTTAATATGCTGCATGACTTAGATCTTGAAGAATGCCTTCAAAAGTTTATATCTACATTAATATGTTATTACATCCAGAGCCAGGGGTTGGCTAGATACCCTTGTTATTTCTGCTGAATATGTTCACTGTACAACCATCACTAATATAGGAGGTTCTGATGGAAAATGAGTGGGATGCAACAGGAAAGTTACTAAGAAGAAAGTTACTGTTGGAGCAAGCAGCTGCAGCTCATCAGTTCTGTGCCACTAGCCTACACATGTGGCAGCTGGAAACAGCTCACAACCAAGTGGTGGGGTGCACTGGGAAAAATCCATGAGCCATCCTGGTTTAATCCTGCCTAGGGTTGAAACAACACACATCGTTTTTAGCAGTAGAAGAGACCTTTATGGTAAGCATGAATGTCAGAAACAAGTAGTAATTAGTGCTTATAGGTTACTAAGGTCTAATTCTAAAACTAACTGTAAGCACTAATTAATCTAACAGAAGCAAAGACTGTAAAGCTTGTGTAGGTCAAACACATATATTATGAATGGTTGCATTCCATGTGGCTTTCAGGGTGAACACAGAACTGAAATTACGCCAAAAAAGGACAATCATGAGGGGCAGTCATTTCTTCCTTGTAGAAGGGTAACAGAGCAATTTAAAAACTTTACTTTCCACATTTTCTATTGGCTGAAATCACATTTTTAAATTAAAAATATACAGAAAGATAAACATGAGAACTAAGTCCATAAAATGATATGAAGAAATAAAATTAGCCACAGTGTAGTTACCAAACATAGTTAATGCCAACATGCATTAAATTAGGCAATTAATCATTTCTAGTGATGAGGGACATGCATCAAAACATGTAAGTTTGAGAAAGCCTTTGCAAGCTATTCAGACTCAATAATACATTCCAAGGAAGGGAAGACATGCACATCCATTATGTTTATATAACTTAAGCTATATTATTGTATTCCTTATTAGCTCAGGCAATATTGTTTGGGAGCTTTTGTCTTTGCCATTCTGCATTTGCACCAACTGAGCAGCTGTGCTTAGTGTGCAAGTGGAAAAAGCCACACCCATACATGAACAAAAGCATATGGAACTGCTGGAACAAAGACTTGGAATGTCCTATTTGATAAAAGATACAGCTTTCAAACCTGCTCTCTGTAAGTTCCAGGCCATAACCCCATCTACATTACAGACTCAAAGTTCTTTTCCAACCTGTCCCCAATTTTCCTTTACAAAATAATTAGTATGCCAATACAGACTCCAGGTTTTCTTGCAAATAATATTTATTTCTCAATTTTGAATGTTCTGTCCTATAAGAATGTTTCCAAGTCATTTGAGAGAGAAACAAAAGATACTACACTATCGAAAAACAATCCCAAGAGTAAATATATACTAATAAAAGGACAGGACCACATTAATAAAAACAACTAAAAAAGCTGGGGAAAATAAAAATGTTTTGTCTAGCATTAGAAAGCCAAAGACCTTCCTTGGAAGGGAAATCCACATATAAGGTACCACTAGACTATCTTGTTTCTATACCAATATAATTGTCAAAATCCTAGAAGTGTAGTTCACCAATGGTGCAGAAAATTCTCTGCCATAGTTCTCCCATCTCCCCCCCACTTTTTTTTTTTAGGAAATTGTGTTATGAAGAGGACAGGGAATGAATATGAAATGAGGTCATGTCTGATTTGAGTGCAGCTGTGCTCTAAAATGCCATTTAGATGCTAGGAAACCAATTACTCCACAATGTTCATAAGGAGATACTCAAACTGATTTAATAGGTTGTATTCAACGTATCCTTCAACTCCTTTACAAATACGCATTCTATGGCTTGCAAAAACAGCCTCTGAATCAACCCCTAGCAAGACGTGTTGGACCTTCTTTTGGGATTATTATCTGAACGAAGCCCTCTAGCCTAGGGAAACTTAATAGGATGCTTTGAGAACTGTTTTGTGTTGTTTTGATCCAAAAATCGTTTTCAAACTGTCCCATGCACTCTGAAAAAAGTGCAACCTCATTACTCAGAGTAACCTCCTCCATGCCCATAGAGATGACACAGACTGCAAGCCAGTCAATTTAGACATGGCAGGGGACAGATTTGACAACTGAGATACAATAATATAGCAACTAGAGGCAGAGAAATTGTCTGCTCTGTAGTTTAAATCATACATTGTGAATAATAACTAACCTAATTTTGAAGAAAAAAGTAACCAGGAATGTTTACCTGCTACATTCACTAACTTTTAAGGAAATTCAGTGAAATTAACTACACAATAATTGTTTTCAATATATTTGCCTGAACAAACATAATGAAATTCATCTTTTAAAATGATCCGTTGCAAGCTTTCTGACGGGTATTACTCTATTCTTTTGTTGTTTGCCTGCTATCTGGATGCAATTGTTTGGGGTGGAATTTAAAATCTACTGTACCTTATCAGGAGGTGGGAACTGCAGCTGATTGACATCCAGGGGCGTGATCAAGGGGATGGTGTCAAATCCATCCTCTAAGAGGGGATGCTTTGTGCTCTTCTCGCTAAAATTATTTCCCAGCTTCACCATTTTTTCCTGAACGAAAGGGAGTCCTGAAAAATGCACACGTGCAGAAATGCAAAAGACGGATCAAAAGCACAATCTGATTGTACATAAATTAAATAAAATAAACTGGCCAAGCACCCCGGCAGGCCTCGTCATGCTGCTTTCCAAAGTGTGCCTAAACAGGGCGCAGAGGGGGAGGGGGAGGGGCGCGGGAGGGGCTTTCAGGCGCCTCAGACCTGCCCTGCCGCAGTGAAGCCCACGCGAGGCTGGCTCGGGAAGTTCCGAGGGCAGCCCATCCACCTTGCCCGTCCGGCGTTCCCCGCTGCCCTCCCTTCTCCTTTCCCCTTCTCCACGCTCTAGCCCCAGGAACCGCCTTCAGGACCCCCTCCGTCTCTCCGGCCGGTGGCCGCCCTCCTCCTCGTGCCTCCCGAAGCCTCGCCATCCCTTTTCCTTCAGCTCCTCCGCCTCCCTCGACCCATTCGCCCACCTGTCTCTTTGTTCTCCTTCTCCCGGATGCAATACCTCGGAAAAGCTGCCCACGCCTTTCCTCCCTTCACTGCAACGCTGGCGGCCGGGGGATGCCGCCCCCCCCCCAGCTCAGGAAAATCCAAATCCGCACGTACCTTCCTTGCCTCTCGCGCTTCCTGACTTTCTCCGAAGGACGGGAGGGTCCCCCTGTCCAGAATAAAAGAATGGCTCGAAGCCTTTTCTTTTTCAGAAAGATCGGGCAGAAATGGCGGGGCTACCCCTTTAGACGCTCGCTCACTCTCTATGGAACAGCTGTTGCGGGCGGGGGGGGGAGAGCAACGAGAAATGGGCAAGGACCAAAGGTAGCATCGGCGCAGGGGTTAATTCGGGAGCGGCGCAGCGCGCCCGCCGCCGCCGCAGCTCCTCAGGCGTGACGCAGCCGCTGCGTAGCTCCCTCCTTGTCTTCGAGCCCCAGTAGCATCAAAGCAGGCCTGCGGGAGTTTAAGCGCCCAGCGTCTTTGGGATGCGGCGGGCCACCGTGTGCACGTGTGCGTTTGTAGTTGCATGTGCCTGAATGGGCTGCAGGAGCTCCGGCTTTGCGTGAACGGATGAGCCCATAAGGCTGGTTCTTCCGCGAAGGACCTCCGCGTTACCCCGATGGGACAGTTAACTCGCCGGGAAAAAGCGCAGCAGGAGGGTCTGATAATGCCCTGTCGGACCCACTGCGAGTTGGCTGCCTCTGCGTAGGGGCCGACCAACCCGGAGACCTTTGGTCAGTCCCCAGGCTGCGACCACCGCAAAGCTCGAAGTGTGCTCAGCGACGGTGGGTGTCAGGAACTGGCCGCGCCGCGGCGATAAAGCCTCTCCCCCCCGCCGCCGCCGCCCCCCTATGCTGGTTTACAGTGAGGGTGATGTTTAAATCCCTCCGTTCAGTTTCGGATAGTCATGAACACTTCTCTACAGCGGGCTACGGTAAAAATATTAAATAATCCACAGTTGTGTGATGGGATACAGCGTACTCCACTCAGGTGATTTGATTACTGTCGAAGAAAGAATCAAAACTATACAACATTTTGTGACACTCGTTGGCGTTTGAAAAATCTGAGTGAATTTACAACTGTATAACTGCAGCTATTACAGAAGCCCCGTGATTGCTCTCCACAATCATTTATGGGCTGAGCTATAATCTATCTGGTGGTGGGAAAACACCCAAATGCAGGGCAACTAGCTGACGGTTTAACGCGGGTTAGAATACTAGAGATGGCTCTGCTGACTGTACAGTTTTAGTGACTATTGATACTTGACTTTTCGTTTCATACTTTTAGTTAAGTGAGCTTGCTTGCAGTCTGACACACACATGCAGAAATATTCCCATCCAAGTGTGAGTTCTGAGTATAGGATGTTTCTTCATGGATTCAGAGAAATCAGAGAAATACTAAGGTGGTGAAACATAAATATTCTTATTAAGTGTTGGGTTTTTTTGCAAGAAACTGCTCAAAATGGTTGCTCAAAAGCCTGTGTGAATATTTTCAAAAGAATATTGTAATTTTATAAAAATGTTAATTATTTTCAGAAGACACTACTGTACTCATAAACTCAGTGGCCAAAATCCTGTTATTTAAGATAGTAAACCACACTAGATTAACTCCATTGAACACTTGAGTGATTATACTAAAGGATCACTCCCATTTCTCTGTAAGCTTGTTTGTGCAGTTTGGTGCTTCTAGGATGATTCTCTGCTATGCACTACATTATAGTTTTGAAATATTGAAGTTTTGAGATGCATTAAATCAAATGAGCAACATCAATGTAATGTGATTGATCTCTATGTTCCATAGGTGATGGGTACATAAATAAGAACTTACTTTAATAATTGTTGTTACGTACATGCCATCATGTCACCTCCTCCAACTCATGGCAACCCTATGAACGAGTGATTTTGAAAATTCCTGCCTGTCTTCAACTGCCCTCCTCAGCAATTGTAAATTCAATCCTGTGGTTCATTTAGGGAGTCAATTCATCTCATATTCAGTCTTCCTGTTTTCCTGCTGCCCTCAACCTTTACCGGCATTATTGTTTTTTCCAGAGAATCCTGCCTTCTCAAGATGTGGCCAAACTAGAACAGCCTCAGCATTTTTGCTCTAGAGATTGTTCAGGCTTGATTTGATTTAGGACTCATTTTTTCATCTTTCTGGCAGTCCAGGTTATCTGCAAAGCTCTCCTCTCCTTTTGAAAGAATCCATTTTTTCCAGTCCAGCGTTTATATCCGGAGATGATGATCAGAAATATAAGAGTGTGGATGATCTTGGTCATCCTTACACTTAATGATCTTTTCTAATTTCTTCATCACTGCCCTTCCTGGTCTCAGTCTTGTTCTGATTTTTTTGGCTGCATCTCCATTTAGGTTGATGATTGAACCAAGGTATACAAAATCTCTATTTAGTTTTCTTCATTGTCATGGCTAAAGACTCTTCTGTAGTCATGAGTTTTGTCTTCTTAATGTTCAACTGTAGTCCTGCTTTGGCACTTTCTTCTTTCAAGTCATTTCAAGTCATTGCTGCTTTCTGCTAGTAAGATGGTGTCATCTGCATATCTTAAATTATTGATGTTTCCTCAATCAATTTTCACTCCTTCATCTGAATCTAGCCTGGCTTTCCATATGAAGTGTTTGTTCTGTGTACAGATAGAACAGATAAGGCAATAAAATACACCCTTGTTTGACATTTTTCCCAATAGGAAACCATTCTGTCTCACTCCATATTCTGCCCTAACAGTAGATTCTTTTATAATAGGCCTGCAGAAAGGAAAAGAAATTTCCATTCCTTTGAATTGTGGTATTGGAAGAGAGCTTTATGGATACCATGGATATACATGTGCTAGATCAAATCAAGTTGCAAATCTCTCTAGAAAGAAAAATATCTGAACTGAGGTTATTATAGTTAGGATATATCAAGAGAAAAGAATTATTGTAAAGATAATAATGCTGAGTACATTCAAAGGTACTAGAAAAAAAGAACTTGCATGAGGTAGCTGGATTGACTAAAAAAGAAACCCACAGCTTTTGGTTTGCTAAACCTGAGCAAAGGGTCAATGACAGGACCTGTTGTTGGATGTCACTGATTCACAGGATCATCATAAGTCAGCTAAGAGCATGTAACAACAAATACAAGCCACACGAAGGCTTTTGCATAGTCAATGAAGCAGAAGTAGATGTTTTTTCTGGAACACTCTGGCTTTCTCCATAATCCAGAGAATGTTAGCAATTTGGTCTCAAGTTCCTTTGCCCCTTTGATATCCAGCTTTTACTTCTGGGAGTTCTTGGTCCACATACTGCTGAAGCCTACCTTGTAAGATTTTGAGCATAACCTTGCTAGCGTGTGAAATGAGTGCAATTGTAAGGTAGTTGAACGATTCTTTTGCACTTCCCTTCTTTGGGATTGGGATGTAGACTGATCTTTTCCAGTCCTCTGGTCACTGTTGAGTTTTCCAAACTTGCTGGCATATTGAATGCAGCACTTTAACAGCGTCATCATTTAAAATTTTAAATAGTTCAACTGGAATGCCATCACCCCACTGGCCTTGTTGTTAGCCAAGCTTTCTAAGGCCCCTAGACTTCACTCTCCAGGATGTCTGCCTCAAGGTCAGCAACCACACTATCTGGGTTGTCCAGGACATCCAAATCTTTCTGGTGTAATTCCTCTGTGTATCCTTGCCACCTCTTCTTGATGTCTTCTGCTTCTGTTAGGTCCCTCCCATTTTTGTCCTTTATCATGTTCATCTTTGCACAAAACGTTCCTTTAATATCTCCAATTTTTCTGAACAGATCTCTAGTTTTGCCTTTCCTATTATTTGCCTCTATTTCTTTGCAATGTTCATTTAAGAAGGCCCTCTTGTCTCTCCTTGCTATTCTTTGGAAGTCTGCATTCAATTATCTGTAACTTTCTCTGTCTCCCTTGCACTTTGTTTCCCTTCTCTTCTCTGCTATTTGTAAGGCCTCGTTGGACAGCCACTTTGCTTTTTTTCATTTCCTTTTCTTTGGGATGGTTTTTGTTGCTGCTTCTTGTACAATGTTACGAGCCTCTATCCAAAGTTCTTCAGGCACTCTGTCCACCAAATCTAGTTTCTTAAATCTGTTCTTCACTTCCACTGTGTATTCATAAGGGATTTTGTTTAGATTACGGTATACCTCACTAGCCCAGTGGTTTTTCCTACTCTCTTCAGTTTAAGCTTGAATTTTGCTATGAGAAGCTGATGATCACAGCCACAATCAGCCCCAGGTCTTGTTTTTGCTGACTGTAGAGCTTCTCCATCTTTGGCTACAGAAAATATAATCACCCTCTTGATATTCAGTTCTAGAGATGAGCACAAACTCAAAAACTGATGGTTTGTGGTTCATTGCTAACTATAAGCCACCATGAGCCCACAGAAAAATGAACTCATACTTCATTTTTCCAGTTCATTCTTGGTGGGACCTACCTGCTCCTGCCCTCTGCCTAGGTTTCCACACCTCTGCCACTCACCTGTCCCTCTTACCTCTTTACCTGCTCCTGCCACTACTGCCATCCTCAGAGGCAGCAGGCCTGGGTTCTCTGCCAGGAGCTGGCCACTGCCTCTGCACATTTGCCCACCTATCAGTTGGGCAGTAGGCAAATGATCAGAGGCAGCAGCCTGTTCTGGGAAGCCGGACTACTGCTTCTGAGTATGTGCCTGTCATCTAGCTGATTGGCGGGTGAACAATAAGAGGCAGTGATAGTGGCAGGAGTAGGGAGGTGTTTCATTTTGTTTTGATAAAATAGGCTCCCTCAACTGCATCACAAACCAAAGCACAAACATTGGTTTTTCTGGTTCATGGTTTAGTTCCTGCCCATCTCTATTCAGTTCCCTTTCCAGAAAGCATTTTTCAGTAAACAAGGACAATAATCGTTGGCTTAATTAATCCTAGGCTATAAATAACAAAGGGGAATGGTAATCATGTCTGATCCGGCTTGTGAGGTAGCACTAAGTAGTTAACAAGGAAATACAGTATACCTGGGAATTACAGCAGATGCAACATTTGATAATGGCCTTAGAATCTTTGGCTTATATCGTGTCCACTGAGATGGTTATTGTCACTATCCCCACATGGCCCCTGCTTGTTTCATCAAACTGGGTGCTCATGCTATGTGCCCCTCAGCTGTCATAAGTTGATTTCATTGACAATATCTATTAATAATCAAGGTCCAGGCCATACATTATTATAAAATAATCAACTAGAAATTGTTTATTGTTACAGATGTTGCTAGAATAGGCAACGTTGTTAACTCTTAAATATTCTCCTTTATCCCTCTCAACCACCACTTTCCCACCCAAATTCCAAAACTCTCCTAACTCTCAATCTCCTCAACTCTCTCAAAACTTTCTATCTCCCCCTCCACCTGCTGAATCTCTTATATGTTGTGACTCCACCCCTCCAGCAGTCCTATTGGTCTATGCAGATGACATATCACCTGGGTGGACACCACATTCTTCTCCCTTAATAAGTTTGTTTTAGGAGGGGAAACTTAACGGTTTGACCTCATAAACAAACAAAGGTTTATGGGAGAATATAAACACTAACCACTTACATTATTTACATCACTAAAGATATATTACATTACTCTTACATCAATAAAGTCTTATTAACCCCTTGCATTACTTACATTAATACAAATTACATTACATTACTTTTACATTAATAGCTATACTCACCATTATTTTTTACCATCACTATACACCTCTCAGTTCATCAACATCCAAGTGATCTCTGCACTTTAATCAGATTCCATAACTATACACAAATAGA